TAAATAGGCCACGTGTCAAATGAAGACGACTCAAGAAATTAGCGCATTTACCGGTAATTTGGATAACCCCGTAATACTTGATATCCCAAACTTTTAAAAGTACAGAAATACAAATGGTGCCAGTCATTTGTTGATATATTCATTATTAGCTATATATAATGATAATAACCATTTCTATACATAAAGAACAACTTTTATCGTAACTCCATTTGAAATTTACAGTGAATATGGAATTTTCCAATGACTATGCATAACATGTACAATAGATCGCCCTCATTTCTCAGCCAATCAACACTGGGAATCTTATTACCATTTACGGTTTCATGTACTACGGGTGTAGTAAATGAGGTTAAACTTCTGCGCAAAAATTGCACAGGATCATACGTGGAGTTCCTGGTGCCGTTTGGTGAGTGATTAAACTGTCAATGCAATTGTAAAATACTTTTATTAAAAATAAGATAAACGATTGTTGTTTAAACGCCAATCAACAAATAATACGAGGCTACTTGATTACAAAAACACCGGTGAGCAATAATTATGGGGTAAATAGTAATTATAAACAACTGATGAGTAAAACTTAATTATTTTATACAATTAATGTGTGGGTGTACGATTCTACCATTAGTTCGTTCATGAGGTATTATGCACACGTTCTACTTAGAGTGATTTCTTTGATGTGGCCAGGGTAAAAAAATATAATTACCTAATCAACATTCTAATTCCCACTAACATTAACTGCTAACACCGACGTGTATATTAATTTATGACCCATGCCTGTATAACTTTTATAGTCGGATTGATTAATTAATGACAAAATATTAACGACACTACACTTTATGTAGAAAAACGAAGTGCTCGCAGTAAAAACAACCACATAGCTGGACCCGTAAATTATTTACATATTAAAAGTATTCGTCCAAAAAGTTCCATATTGTAAAAAATTAATTAAGAGTTCAAGACTTCAAAGTTTAAAAGTTGTAGGCAATCTAAATTGGATCTTAAATTAAAATCAATTACACAATGAATTATTCCGTAGTCAATTGTTTTATTTAATTAGGGGGATTAAGGAATCCTTCAGGCGTTAAAGAATATACACGCCGGCTGTATATAGGTAATTAAGGAATAAACATTCCGAATATGCATTCGGTCACTGTGACGTCACTGGCGTCTGAGGGGATTAAGAGTTTTTTCGATAATTGGCAAAGTCGTTTTTATGGGAGGTCTATTTTTACGACTTTGAGTGAAGATAGCTGAATTAATTTCAAACAGATTGGCATGAACTTGCCGTAAAGTGGATATAGTAACCACTGGCTACACACATTAAAAAGATTTTTCGTCCATCTTATGTGCACTTTAATACTACATTTAATAATATCTCTTCTAAACTTAATAAGTAATGTATTTTACTCTTTCTGTGGGAGATAAGATACAGAGATGGCAGTTCTCGCTATAATAGTTAAAAACTAGATAGTGTAAAGGTAATTTGCTGAAAATTTCAGTCAAATTGATCCACTATGAGCCGAGAAAGAAGCGGGTGAAATTTTTGCATAGTCTCGGTCATCATTACTAAAATCATTAATTATCACTGGCCTTTAGCATCATATAGGAATCTAATCCAGCCAACATCGAAGGCTAGCCTTGACATCGAGAGTTTATTATAGTCTGGATAAGTTAATTAATGTATAATTGATAATTTAGATAACATTTCAGGCCTAAAGAAAGACATGTAATAAGCAGATTTTGCTCTTGCATAATGCATGTTTAATAATATGCATTTTTTCTTTCTATACTTAATACTATGTATTTTCTCTTTCCATACTTAATACTTTGTACTTTCTATAGTACTATTTATTTTTCTCTGTTTTTTTCACTCTTTCTATACTTAGTTTGTCATGAACCCCCTTTTCCGTGCTTTTAATCAAAAATACAACAAACGTCCTTTCAATCTACAAAAAATGGGTTAAGTTATGCAGCCGTATTTCATAAATATGGTGTAAAGCAGGATGTAGCTAAACCCTTCATGATAAAAGATTTAAAGTAGCGTCTTATAAAAAAAATAAGGTTATTATTATAAGAGACATTTTTTCGAAAATAAATTACACATCATAAGAAATTGAATTTCGGTTTATATAGTTACATCTTCAAAATCATAAAATCTTTATCGCTGAAGGGAGGAGCCACAGTGGCCCAGTGAGCATGACACTGGCTTATTAAACAAATCTTAATAATAATAATAAATAATAATAACTTTATTTTCAAAGGGTTGAAAATTAGGCCAGGAGGCCTGTCTTACATTTTGCCCTTTATAACAGAAATTAAAGTTGGCAGAGAAATTTCTTCAGGATTTTCCAGTCCGGTTTCCCCATGTCAGTGGTGCATGACAAGGACCTAGCAAGACTAGTATGGAAATAAAAGCGTAATAGGTGAAAATTTTCCTTGTGACTCACTGTATTGTGTATACCTATCTTCGTTAGTCAGACAAACTCAGGACATTAAACCCTATTTTATTTTATATAGAGGAAGCTTATTTTTGAGAGATAACACAGAGAGAGAGAGAGAAATGGGGTTTAATGTCCACTTGACACAAACTAGGTCATTTCGGGACTAACATATGGTTCAATTTTATTTCCATGATTCGCTTGCGCGTAGGGGTCTTTAGCTGTGGGAGGAAACCAGAGGATCCGGAGAAAACCCACGAGGTTGGACAGGCAACCCTACTCCTTGTCACGTACAACCGGGGAATCGAAACCCCACCAGTTGACTCAATGACAGACCGTATGATACAGTGCGCGCGTGCTAACCATTCGGCCATTCCCCCCCCCCCCCCGAGAGGTAACATAGTCTGTCAATGGAAACACCTTTAAATTTAACCCTTATCAAAGTATTTATATAATGATAACAGATATTGACCAACTTGAAAATGTCTGATAAAACAAGCATTATAAATGTATCAAATATGATACTAGTACAACAATCACCAATGTTCAAATTTGATTTCTTATTTAAGAACTCAGTTTGGAACCTTGAAATAGCCTAAAATTGGTAAAAAAAACCCACATATTAATGCAATATGAATGTATGTTCATTTTGTCGTTTGTGGATCAGCCATTTGTAATTACTTCCACACTGACTTGGTGGATATGTTATCTTTCATCATAAATGGCACCCAAGACCATATATAAACTGAGGTCAGGAACTGATTTAAATGTTCATTGGTCTTAAAAATTGGATATGAGATCTCCATATTTTTACCATACAATAACTACATTAATGGACTGATATTGAATTATAATTTGTGTTTTTAATGTTGAATATTATGGATAACATTCAGTTAGAGCTCTACACACTTTAACCATGATAAGCAACTTATCTTTTCTACTTGTTAGGAATTGTGTCACTACCCTTTTGATTGTTTTTTTGTGTCAAAGAAACACAAACACTGACGTCAAACGTCAGCACATGACGATTATCGTACATAGTGAGGTATCTGATAAGTGGAAATGTTAAGACCTGAGCCATGTTTAGAAATATCTAAGGAACACAAAACATCAAATTTAATCTGGATTGCTGTCAGATAACAAAATTACTTTGCAAAATTCAGAATTATTAAGATGCTTAGTACTTCTCAAATGTCCCAGAAAATCAAAAGTTTCATATTAGTGTCAGATTTTGAAAACTGTTTCAAATAAATTTCAAAAACATGATTGGATTTTCAAAATATTCAGTCTGTTGAATTTAAAGATCATGTACATTTGCATATTTTGGTTTATTTGAAATTCAAATAAAACTGAATTTGTGTATTTTATCAAGAAATTAATAAATTCATTTACTTTTGTGCATTTTTTGTAACATGTATAACTGAATAATTATAAAAATTTGATTTATTTTTGTGTTTGTGTATTATTTTTGTTATATTTGAAATTTGAATAAATGAATTTTTGAGCATTTTATCAAAAAAATTACAAATTATTATTTGAGCATTATTTGTAATATTCGAAATTTGAGTCAAATGAATTTGCGTACTTTATCCAAAAATGAATTTGTGTACTTTATCCAAAAATGAATTTGTGTACTTTACTTTATCAAAAGATAGGTTGCCAGGCAATGAAACATACGCCCACAGCAACTAAATCATCTGAGCGGTCGACAAGGGTTGACGCATATTTATTCTTTTGTAGGCAATTGGGGGCATTTACAAGACAATTTCATACATATCAGATTATAAAGGTTCTACAAACTGAAACAAGGGCCTTAAATCTGGAAGTAAATTACAGAAAATTTTGAAATTTGACAGGCTTTTTCGTTCTACTAATTTAAATAATGCATATAAATTTCATACATATAAATTTCATACAGATCGGCAGATAACTTAAGATGTTAGAGCGTTCACAAGGTACAACAAAGTGAAACAAGGGCTATAAGTAATTAAGGGAAATTGCTGAAATTTAATAGGCTTCTTCGTTTCACTAATTCCAATAATGCATATAAATTTCACAAAGATCGGATGATAACGTTTGTCGTTAGAGCATTCACAAGATTCAATAAAGTGAAACAAGGGCCAAACTCTAAACGTAATAAACTGAAATTCAATAGGCTTCTTCGTTTCACTAATTTAAATAATGCATATATAAATTTCACAAAGATCGGATGACAACTTTTGGCGTTAGAGTGTTCACAAGGTCCAACAAAGTGAAACAGGGGCCATAACTCTAGACATAATAAACGGAAATTAGGCTTCTTCATCTCACTAATGTCATCAACATATATCAATTTTAAAACAATTGGATCATAACTTTTGGCATTAGAGCGTTCACAAGAAATTGGGGACGACCGACGGTCGGACTGACGGGGACGACAGCAATATACGTCCATATTTCCATGTTGGCGTATAAAAAATGAATTTGTGTACTTTATCAAAAAATGAAAAGATTCTAGGCATTATATATAAAATAGAGCATCATTCTGAATATTCTACAATTAATATTAGTGGTTACACTCACCTGCAAGAGTGTAGTCCATATCAAATCCATAAAACTTCACTTTTTCTAACATTAAACTTCTATTAACGAATATTCTATAAACATTAAAAAAAAATATATATATATATACATATATATATCTAGTTACAGCTAACAGCATGTGCAGGAGGACCACATCAAACATAAACAATAACATAAGACAAACCCACGGACAAGAGTCACAAGACACACCATAGACATTTCAAAATACATTTATGCATATCAAATCAAGTGAATGGATCCAGATATATTCAATCCAAATTTCAAAAGCAGAAAATACTAGTACCAGTACAGATTAGGGCAGATAATAGATCAATATATTGAAAACAGATATTTGTTATCAGAATAAAAATTTTTATCTCAAATTTTCGAACAACATAGTCTTACCTGTGCAGAAAATGTTTTTTCATTGACATTTTTGCAGAAGGGTAACTATACATCTACCAGCACCACTAGATTTCATTTATGTCATCCCTAATTACAATTAATAACACATAGCTATAGTAGTGCTATATTATGCCAATTAACTGTTCACAACTTTGACCTCTGCCCGGAAGTATGTAACACTTGACATGACTGTAATTGTCACATACCCAACAACATTCCAACAGTTTGGACGAAATGTTTGTCCTCTCTAACAACGGTGGTGTTATCCCCGTCTTGAAAAGTTCAGGAAAGAAACGAAATCAGAATTTTCTTTTAAGGAAAATGAGGTCCTCAAAACCCTATCAAATAATGAAAAGATAAAACGTTTCCTGGACACTGGTTGGACAAACTCTGATCTCGAAGAGGTGTTTGAAATTTAAACACCATTGAACAAAAGGAGGTTGTATTTCTCGCTTATGTTGCTATTCTGGTAAACTGATTTGTATTGTATTGATTTCCATATATCGTTTTCACACTTCAAGAAAGCAGTGGGCGATATAGGTCACACACGCTTGCACGTGCTCGCTACCACAGTAGACAGCGATGATGGTTCCGACTGAGACTATAACAATCTGTTCAGCATGTATAATCAGACAAAGTGTGCATTTAAGTTGTATTCATATAGGAATCTTTAATTTTATTCAGAGAAATGAAAATACACAGGTTTATGGTGTATCTTTGCAAAGACTTGCTGGGAAAATAATTTCGTTTTGCTTAGCAGTACCAGGAGCAAAATTATTTGCTTCGGAATGTTTTAATACGATTTCAATGTTGTTGAATTCGAAAGAAGATGTTTGTCTTTCATCGTTAGAATTGAGGGAGGAATTTGTATTTTTGGGTTTTCTATCCTACTGGCAGGGTTAAAACTTCAAATGAAGTGCTGAGTTTATTTTCAACAGTCAGAAACAGTATTTGGGGAACTACTGCCGGTCATCTGAAATTGATTACCCAGTTGGGATAAAAAGAGGCTCTATCTAGTCTTTTAAGGGCTCTAATTTGTATTAGGCATGATGTTTAAAATTACCATCTACATGTTAATATTGATAATAAACCCCTTTTGGATAGCTGGAAAAAAATTGGATAGCTGGAAAAAACAAGGCAGTCTGTCTTCAAATTTAAATATCATTCTTCAGGACATATTTTTTATTCTGCAAGAATTCAATATTCATATGAATTTAGTTTTCATTCCATCTTCAGATAATCCTGCTGATGGTCCTTCTAGGGCCTTCTTAAAATCAGATGCATGTCTTTCAGATTTCCCGTCTTCATTAGCCCAGTTTAGGAGCAGAACAGTAGGATGTTAAACCCCATTTCATTTCTTTCAGATTAAGCATTTAAGAGAGTTGATCTAATATTCGGACCACATACCATTGATCTCAAATCTCTTGATTGTAACACTATGAAGGAGAAGGATGGCGTCACTCTTCCCCATTTAACCCTGTATATAACACCAAAAACTTCAGGTATAAATTATGTTTTTGCACAGTCGATAACTTCACACGAGAACACCTATGTGTTTCCCCCCTTTTATATGATCTCTGCCATTATTAACTTTATAAAACAGAAACAAATAAATTTCACCTTGATCGTCCGGCTATCTCTCCTATCCGAGTTTGGTTTCCACAAATTTCCTTTGCAAACCAGGTAGTTGTATTAGCTTATAATGGTGATAAAAACATTTTGTTATATATACCCCAGTAAGGGAGGTTTCCGAAAAGACAAATTTGGTTTACCTTGCAATTTGTGGATTGTAAGATTTTGTTTTCCAAATCTGAAGGCAAATTTATTTAATTTCGGTTCAGTTTTCTTCAGGGCGCCAGTGATTACATCACCATTCAATGTTGCTTACAGGGAATTCTATTGTACGTAGTATTGTTATAGATCAAGTATAAAAGTGTTTTCAATTCCAGAGGCATCAATTTTGGATAAATCTCTAAATTTGATTAATTTGACACAACCTTTGTCTTGTATTTTCCTATACATTCACGTCGGTATTAATAATATTAACAGAACCCACTTTGAGTTTGAACAGTTAGCTCAATGCTTTCGTGATTTTCACATTCTTCGAAATGTTTTAAATGATTTGTTCAAAAGCTCTACAATATTTTTGTCATCTGTTTTGAAGACCTCAGGTAGATGTAAATGCGAAGGTTTCGTTAGTGAATACAAATTTAGCTACCTTCGGTCAGCTAGTTCCTGGTTTTTAATTCAGCTTAATAATATAGGGTCAACAGAGGTTGGGGCAAGGAAATTACTTCAGAATTTTCTTGACTTAGAAATGTTGTAAATTTGGATGTATGTTGTATTAAATATATCAAAATATTTGTTTTTCTTTTCAAGTTTATTTCATGGCATCCCATTACATATATTGGATTGTCCTGAACTAAACCTTTTTCTGGTTCAGTAGTTTATATGGTATTTTGCAAGCCACCCTCCCACCCTATTATCAGGTTTTGCGTCTTCTTCCTCCAGTTTCGCTCCAGGCATTTCTCTCCAGATTTTATATCTGAAGGAAGAAGGTTTAAGTTGAGGAAAGTATACTGTATGTCATATGAAACTAGTTTATAATATAGTATGTATTAACTTTGACCAGGAATTTCCAAATAACAAAACAATTCTAAACTCAATTATGTTAATTATTCATCAAAGGCAATAAATCTGGTAATATTACCCAAACACCAGAAAGAGCAAACAATTGACATATCAGCCAGGTCTGTGATACAAAATATGTCTCGATGTACACTTTTAAATACAATAATTTGATAGAACTTTACTGAAATGAAATGAAATGGGGTTTACGGTGTACTTCTCTGCATCAACCGTGTTAATGAATGACGGGCATATATGCCATCACGTATGCTATGGGGAAGATTTTTCCATGACATCCGCGTTTCCCCCTACTCTTCATTGAATTCTGACTGTCAAGGGCTGTTATAAATGCCTACCAACGTAAACACAGGACCTTGGTTTTTCATCCCAACTAACTACATACTGTTCCCTGCCATGCCCTACGTCCTGCACCATTGACAAGGGGAAAACATGCTGAAAAATCTCTGCCTGTTTGTAGGGGTCTTTAGCAGTAGGAAGAAACTGGAGGACCCAGAAAAAACCCCACAAGGTTGGTTAAAATTAGGAATATGAACTTTCAGATAAAAATAACAAATTAATACCTTTTGCTTGGTTCTCTCTTGTACATCTTTAAACTTGTACGACTGACAGAACTATCAGGATCTCCTGGAGATGGCGGACTTGATGCCATCTTTTATTTTTATTCTATTCTGAAAATAAAAAAAATACCTTGTCAGATATAGACTTGAGAACACTGTGAAATAACAAGTACATGTACCAACATACTATGGACTAGGAACTGAGTATGACATCATTGCAGCCATCTTTGAATTGCTATGTCATATCAAAAACTGAAGTCAAAGCAATTGTCCAAGAAACAAGCATGCCATGTTTCATGCATTGTCAATCTTACATGAATTAGCTGAGTCTTAGGCTTTATACATGTACCAAGAGTGTCACTCCAAGAACAGTTCCTGATCCTAAAATAGTTACAGACAGGAAGTGTCCAGTACACTCTATAAGTCTATTGTTGCTTGGTTCAATCAATTTTGACATGTACATCATGTAAAGTAGATCATTATAGTTATTAAAGCCTCATCTCATTTTTCACAACTAACAACATGTAATCCACACTAAAATGCACTCAAATTGTTTATTTAACATTTAATTATGAAAAAAAAATATATTAAAGACAGATAATCTCCCTGCTTTAATACAATAAGAATAAAAAGAAGTTCATCAAAAAGATTCAGGTGATGAACATTTCCTATAATATATATCGTCTACAGTTGATGACAAATGTTGACAAATTTTACAATTCATTATCTTTGTAAATACTGAATGGAATTGAACTATTGTTTGACTGATAATCCTTTTAGAGATGCAACTTTCACATTATACTATGGATTAACCATCACCTCAAATTACTATTAGATACTTCAAAGAATAAATTTCACTGTCAAAAGAAACATGATAAAAAATTTCCTTTGGGCCAATAAGTTTTTACCCTATAGGTCACACTGGTATGATGATTGAACAGAAAAGAAGCTTTGTCTTGTTGCAGTAAAGCTCTGGATTAGCAGAATGATTGATTGTCAATGATGGTCATATTCTGTATATTATTTCTACTCCATATATCAAGCTGTAATATTACATCAGATTAATTCCAAATATAACTTTCAAATCACGCTGACAAAGTCTTATTTAACCTTTGTGGATTTTAAGGTTATTTCATCAAGGAATCGTTCATGACAATTGAGAAATTTCAGTACAATTGTTTTGTAACGGAGTGTTGTAAGAAAAATCAATGAGCTTCCTGCTTCATTATGATCTTAGCATTCAAACATTGCAGAAAGTACTTCTCAACAGATTTGTTCAACGTCAATGGCAGTATATATGGACAAAGATTACCAAGTAGAAATCATCAGATAGTAATTAATTTAAGTTTCCATAGTCAGACATTTCAGATCACCCTGCAGCCTAATCCATCTATGTCAACTCTATAATTGTTTTATAAATTATATAAATTAATCCATTGTATATTTAATCCATTAACCATTAATTTATTAAGGATAATAAAGGTAGGACTACATACTGTATGTTCGTCATTTATTGAGAAACATTATGTAAGACAGTGGATACATTAAGGACAACAAATAACATGACAGAGAACGACTGCTCAGGTCTCTGGTACTATAACACCCCCCCACCCAGAAGATGGAAAGATTATCTTCATAACAAGCTCAACCCATACGGTAAGATTCCAAAAAGAAATGAAATAAACTATGGTTTAAAGTCATACATTAAATGAAAAGTGGCACATTATGCCATGCGGGGCTATGAACGAAATTAGTGGCGGTTCTGCCTACTCTTTGTTGAATTCCAACTTACATATTCCTTTGATGGATCAAATCATATTATACATGGGACAGCTCAGTTTTTCATCTGATTGTAACAACTAGACGCTCAGTACTGACAAGGCGAAACCACAGGAACTTTCTTGGACAATGATGGGAATGAACCAGGGATCTCCTTATTCACTGAGCCACTGTGGCACACTGTTTCCTAATAGAGACTTACCTTTAAATATTTTTTACAAATGCTTTTGAAACAAAGTCGGATCTACGTACACTTACAATGTTAAAACTTATAACTTTCAATTAAGATGTAAAATATTCAACCTTGTCACAAAAATTCAATTTAAGCAGATGTTGTGTGGAATACAATCCTATAAAACTACAGTAATGTACACTTGTACATATTTATGCTGCTGTATGACTACACTAATCAATAACCTGTCCCTCTAATGGATATATATTATCGTCATCAACAAAAACCCATGGGACTTAATAAAAATTTAAGTGTCCACAGGCTTTCTATTTGCAGATTAATGGATTGTACAATTATTGTTCAGGTGATTGGAATAATGCTACAATGTAAGGAAATAAATGGCTGAATGGTTAGCATGCACGCGCTGTATCATAAAGCCTGTCATTGAGTCAACTGGCATGGTTTCGAATCCACGGTTGTACATGACAAGGAGTAGGGTCGCCTGTCCATGGGTTTTCTCCGGGTCCTCCGGTTTCCTTCCACTGCTAAAGACCGCTAAGGGCAAGCGAATTATTGAAATAAAATTAAACCATATGTTGGTCCCGAAATGACCTAGTTTGTATCGAGTGGACGTTAAACCCCATTTCTCTCTCTCCTTGCCAGGGAAAACTGCACTGGTAAATCATGAGGAAATTTTTGGGTTAACAGGTTGAACACCAAAGCTCCTGGTTATTGAGCCAATGCCTTACCCACTGGGCTACTTATTGAAATAGAGAGAGAAATGAGGTTTAATGTCCACTCAACACAAACTAGGTCATTTCGGTACTAACACATGGTTCAACTTTGAACAGATGTTCAATCCTGGTTTTTATCACAGAGAGTTCATTATGATTTTCCTGCGTAGTTCCCCCTTATCAGTAGTGCAACCGAGGTCCTGTGTACACAGTGGCGTGCACGTAAAAGAACCCTTGGCAGTTAGAATTTGATATAAGAGTAGGCCATAGTGCCACTGCCCGGGCAAAATTTCACTCATAGCACACTGTATGGTGTTTGCCTGTCTTCATTAGGCTAGTCGGTGCAGAACAGTAGGACGTTAAACGAAATTTCGTTCTTACATATTTCATTAGTCACAATTCACAAATTGAGTCCATGTAACTTGGATTGTCCATCAATGAAAATACAAATTAAAGAAGAAATATGTGTTGGTAAAGTTTTAAATTCCAATGAAATGGGTTAAGGGGTGACTAAACAACAGCTTATTTTAAAGATTGCACAAACTGGGATAATGAAGACAGCATACATTGTATAATATACTATTGGGTAAATTTCATCCGAAAAATCATGTATTCACCAACTCTTTTTCGTTTTGTAACTGTCAAGATTACTTTTATGTGCATGCAATGCAATGTGAACACGGAAGATCGTTTTTTGTCCCATCTGAGCGACTAGACGCTGTTCCTTGTCAGGAGCTCCATCCTGCACAACTAACATCGGGAAACCACAAAGAAAATCTTGGAAAATTTTCTCAGCCAACACTGGGATTGAATCATTGGCCTCCTGATTAGCAAGCCAACGCAATATTCACAAAGCCATATCTAGATGGTTCATCACACAATAGCCTACTCTTTCCACTCATTTCAAATAGAGAAAACGAGTTTTAACGCCCACACAAACTAGGTCATTTTAAGACTAATTCATTAAGACCATTCAGCCACCACGTAGCTCATACATAATCTTTTTAGTGGCACTGTACATGGAATGGGGTCTAATGAAACTTTGACACAATACTTTGGTCTGTTTGAGCTGTCGATTTTTTATTTCAATGGTTACGATTTCGTTCAAACACAAGCATTTCTGCCTACTCTCCTTCATTTTTCATGTGTCAAGGGTGGATTTTCATACCACCAGAATGACTAGGAAATGTCCTGATTGTTCACCACAAGTGGTAGGCCTATTTTAAATAGATCTATTATCATGTTGGTTTATGGAATTATAGTGTCTCCAACAAATGCAAATCGTTACTGATTATCTCCTATTTCGGTAGATTGAATAATCCAGTATATACTACAAGAGGTATTACCAGGGCCTTGATTAATCAGTCTACTGTTTGGGCTACCTGTCTTGGCTAAATCTATTCGTTAAGCCCGGTTCAATTTTCGTCAAGGTCGCTAAGATGTAAATAACGTTAGACTTAGAAGGCATGTGATTGTTGGCGAGATTGTAGGGTTAGGGTAAGCATTGGGGCTAGGTCCTGGGTTAGGGTTAGGATTACTGCTAGCCCTGTTTACATCTTGTGACCTTTGACCAAACCTGAAGTTGGCCTTATCAAATAGATCTTACCGTAGGCCTACCTGTCTAATCAGGTTGGGTTGGCTACTAGTACTAGTCAGTCGAGTATGCCATACCAATGTTGGGCGTTGACCCAGTTTTTTGTGCGACAATATCAACTCGATTCCGTATTATCTAAAATTAATTAAATTTATTTTCTTGGTGGAAGTCTATTTAATGTGAACAATTATATTTTTACTAAATGTCAATAAACCACAAAGCTGTAAAGCATCTAAAACTACGATGTCAAAATGTTGTTATGTTTTGTTCTTCACGATGATGACTTCCGGCAAAAAGTTTTAGCATTTTTTTCCGCTATAATTGCAGTTTTTACATATTATTATGGAATTACGAATATCAAATAACATTCCGCAAATTTATTTTGAAATTGCCTAACGATGTGTGCAATTAAGAATCTAATTCTGAAATAATTCTACCTGTAATTTCTTTAAAAAATACTTCGTAAACATTAACAAACTTTTCTATTCCAGTCATGCGCACTCAAAGAAGGGAAAACGGAACTAGAGCAGACGAAACACGCTCGACCTGATTCACACTCGCATTCTAGTAGTAGCAGTCGAGTAATAGCCTGCGTACAGTTGTCAGTGACGCAAAAGTAATCTTGACTGAATGAATGTAATGTAGAATACGCTCTACTGTTTTGAATTATTCTTTATAGAAATGAAATGAAATGAAACGGGGTTATATACTATACTATATTATAGTCAAGCAGTAGTAAGAAGTTTTATTTTAATCCCTTCATCAAGTGCCTGTGGTGCCTGCTCAGTCTTATTTCGAATTCCAACTTTCAGGGTTCTTTTACGTACACACCAATATATAGGCCCTACACATGATCTCGGGTTTTCGTCCCATCCGAACGACAACACGTCGTCCCCTGTCAGGCTCTCGGTCGATCCTGCACCACTGACAGCTTTTCTTTATAGAGTCTTACAAATAGAGTAAAAAAGTTATGTTGCCAGACGACGAAACAAACGCCAACAGCAGCTATAGCTGAAATCGTTCGTGGGCTAATCCTAAAAGTTCTTCACATTGTAGGCTAAGTCTTCTTTTTTTCTAGGTTAACGCAAAATCTTTAAACTGTAAAATACGAGGGGTTCGTTAACAATAAACTATGACATAATCAATGACTATGTCTAGAAGTAGGCCTAATTGCCAGAAAATGTTATTCCTATATTATTGTGCTTTATTGTAATAATCGAAACAAGAAACGAATCTAAAGTAGATCAGATACTGATTTTTTGGTAGCTTTCACAAAGTGAGAAAGGGTGATAACTTTAGTCATTAAAGGAAATTTGAACGACTGCCTTGGTTCACAAGTCCGAACAAATCACATAAAATTTAAGCAGATCAGATGATATTCCGATAGAGGCGATACAGCGTTCAAAAAAGATTCGACAAAAGGAGCAAGGGCAATAGTTCCTGCGGTAATAAATGAAATTGTAGAAATACATTCTGTATTTTGTTCACGGGATGTTGTGGACGGCGGATGAACAGAGTGGCGACAATATGAGAATAATTGATCATTTCCCGTTTTCAATTCCTTATTAGGGATAAGAGGAGTTAAATGTTTATTCCAAATTCCAATACCATGGAACCTCTTTTAAATACATCAACAATGCTATTATAGACTTCTCTATAAAGCACAAGGTTATGTCGTTCACATTTTTTTTAAAAGTTTTTGTTATATAAACTTATATTACATAGTAAAAAAATTGCCAAGGCGAAAATTTGTCAAGAACAGTCCGTCAAAGCAGGACTGAAATGAAATTAAATGGGGTTTAACGTCCTTCTTTTCAGACCATCCGGGATAATGAAGACGGAAAACCGGACTGTCACCAATTGATAATCCGATGGTAAATTGGTCTGGCCTAAAAACGAATAACATATTCTCTAACATTTGAATGATTTGGGATATATTGGTAAACGAAGAATTTTAAGGAATTTGGGTGAAAGGTCAATGGGCTATGGGACTAATGTTGTGTAACATCGCACCCCACCCCATAGCAACGCCATTGCACCCTTCCCTTTCTCGAAAAGGCTCAGATTTCATTGCGTTTCGCTTATTTCGGTCTAAATTTGATTTTTGTTTTAATATCTATTAATCTGACAATAAGCCAGTATCAATGACAGTGGATATGGTATCGATCCGTTGCATTTTGATCAATTCGCAGTTAGTTCCCTTGGAACCGATACCTCACAAACTTGCAAGCGGTCTATGGAATGGCATAATTGCTAGACTACTGTTTATTTGAATAGTGAATAGTAGACTAGTATTTAAAAAAACATATTATATGCATGTACAGGCCTATTGGTTTGAGGTTAAGCGTCCTACATCCCTGCACCAACTGAACTAATGAAGGTGTAATGATTTGGAGGGTCCCAAATTTTAACGCCTATATTGAAAAAGTTTTAAATTTTGGGGTATTTCCTAGACATTCTAAATTTTCCAAATTTCCATAAACAGAAAGTTTATTGTAGTCAATGTGAGAAAACTCTACTCATCCCCATCCTTCCATATCCTTTAACACAACCATATCGATTACAGAAATAAGATGGGGTTTCTTACAAATGACAATAAACCCTTTCTAAATTGTTTCCCATGTAGATATTCTTTAAACCAGGTTTATTTAATATCACAGATTTATTTATTTGATGAAGTTTAATAAAACTTTATAATGACCGGTAGTAATATAAAACTGTGAGAAAAGGGTGGAATCGAAAGTAGAGATACAGTTTAAAAAAAATCACGGCGACATATCATCAAACAATAATTACAGCCAAGTATTGTGATCCTTGAGATGTGGTATTTCTTCTCTACTTCTCTGTACTGGCTAGGTTAATGATTTCGGGCATACACCATTCTTGTTCTTCTATTAGTGTTTAACATCCACTTCCACCGATGGTGATATTGCAGACAAGTGTTCTTATTTCTTTTATTATGACTAGCGCAAGCGTAGGGGTCTTTCCTGTGGCATGAAACTGGGGTACCCGGAGTGAACCCGCGAGGATAGGAAGGCGCCCATATTTCCAAGCCACATACGCTCACAATAGTGATCGAAACCACGACCGCAAGCCCGAGGTGACCAGCCATCTAGACCACCTGGCCTTCCCAACCCCCTGGTGAATACGCCATGCTCATCAGTGTGATATGCGGGACACGTATTTCGAATTACACCTGCCACGGGTTCTTTTACGTGCACACCAACGTGTGCATGGGACTTCAGTTTCCCGTCCCTCTGAACGACTAGACACGTACGGTTCCTTGTCAAGCCCCCGTCATGCACCACCTACAAGGCGTAACCACGCCTAATAAAACACAACAACCATTTATAGGGAACACGACCACTGATCTATCCTACACAGTTCACGACATTTCGACAATAACTCTATTATCGTTTTCAAATATATATATAAATGATGATGAAGATTCTATAAGTTTGTCGAAGACAGCGAACAGCGATATATTCATACATAGCCCGCCACACAAACATTCCGAATACATCCTAGACAATTCTAGAAAAGAAATACGGATATTATTAGAATTGGCATTAGTATTAACCTGTTTTTAAAACGGTTTCTAATAATAACATTCACTGTAATTATAAATCTGAATTGTCTTGTTTTGGTAGATTCCTGGTGTTTTAATTACTACATACATACATTATATAAACATCAATGACTCATTGCTGCGTAGTTGTTTGTCAGTCCACTATCTCAGTTGTCTCTCTGAATCTGTGCCGATCGTAAATTAGTCAGGTTATTACAGAGTTTATAAATTAACTCATTCCGCAGAGCTGGTACCGCCGATTGGTCCAAAGCATTGTGCTGTGGACAAAGTCGGATTTTTCTAGAAATGCTGGCATGCTTCGGTATCTAGTAGATGTACATGTATATATGTTTTACTGTATTTGGGGTGGGTGGTGGAGGGGATGGTGGGGTTGGAGGTTGCAATGGCCGTAGCTCACGCGAGAATTACGACCATGCGTCGGTTAAATTTTCAAAATTTTCTTGGGGAGCGCGGGTCCCCGATACCCCGCAACGATCGATTGGTTGTTTGGGATTCAGGTAAGCCACCTAAGGTAGGCTATAATGGACCACATTGAAGTTGCTGTATTCACGAGCTGGAATCGCAGGTAAACACGTGTGCGGCAGTTAAATTTTCTCCTTACAGTCCCGTCTCCGTGGATTGTAAACGATTGATTGATTGATTGGAATTCAAGTCAGGCATCTAAGATAGATATTAGACAATATATTTCCAAATTTTCTTTGGGGGTGGATGGATATCTGTAATCCGAAACTTGTTCGGGCATTTCAGGTTCTGCCCCGTACGCCTATGGTTATACACTTGCACACCTCAGTACAAATTAATTTCCGTAGGCCCCCAGATACTCATGGGCCCTAGGTCAATGGCCTCGCATGTCCATTTGTAAATCCGTCCCTGGCTATAGATCAGATATATATGTAATCTAAAGCAAGACGTAAAGACTTAAAGAGTGATGTCGAGCTTGCTCTTGCTGTCTGCGATATCACCTCGGTGGAAGCGGACGTAAAATACAACTAACCCATCATCATTGGTCTTGCTCGAGGTCATCAGTTCTCAAGTGTCCTCACAGAAATATAGAGCCTTTGCGGAAGAGAGTCATAGTCTCTGATTATCATTTTACAAACTACAAAATATTGTGAAAGTTGAATAAAAGAAATACCAGTCCAAAAATGGTTTAATTCCATTCAATATTTACACAGATATGGTGACCTGTCAAATTATACGCCCACTGCTGACGATATAATAGTCCAAGTCTCTATACAAGTCTGCGTGTGTAATCATTGTAACACCTCTCCAGTGCCAGATTAAGTCTCTACTGTCCTTAAGGCACATAATAGATAGATGGTCTGAAAATACAGTTATTTTGGGTTCACTGATAAATAGAAGAAAGTTAAATTTAACAACATAAAATTTATTACAAAATAATTCAGGAACAGTTTTTTGTTGACAGTACTGTAATTACTATAAGATTACAATAGCTAGAATACAACCTTTTTTACTTTATTTTTTTGTAGCCTGGATTTTTGGCTGACCCTAAGGCACGTGCCTTATTTGCCTAATGGTTAATCCAGCACTGCCTCCACCCAACCCCCTCTCTCTGCCAAGAACCAATTGAAATCAATAAACGCCCGAAAGAAACCGGCTCAAAGTTTAGCGGAGTTGTATCACCATTATCAAAACCACCTTAGACATTCCAGAAAATCGATTTTACTTTTAGACTTCCAGAAATTGGCACCAATCGGCCACTCCCGTGACTAATGCTTAATGAAAAAATAACAGAAGCTCGTTTCATCTTCAAACGAAAGGTCCATTAATTTTTATTCATCCGGCGCGTGTTTGTACTTGAGTAAGATGGGAGAGTTTGAAACTGGACACAGGCCTGAGATCACAGACGCCACATACAGGAAGTTTAGTAAACCATACGATTAATTACCTACCATTTT